GGGCGACCGCGCAGGTAAAGCGCAGCGGCTTGCCCGCAGCAAAAATGGCGGCGGGTGCGGCTGGGGCGAGGGGAGCTTCCCGGGCATGAAGATGGCGGCGCCGCCAGCTGTCACCTGGCGGCCGTTTGGTGCGGGGCTTCGCGCTGACGGCCATGTCCGCCCGCCGCGGGAAGGGCCGTGTCCCCTCCCCAGCGGGGCGTCCTTGGCTGGCTCCCCGTTCCTCTTAGGCAGAGCCGTACCTCCCCCCGCCATCCTCGGGCAGGAAGGCTGAGGTGCCGGCCCCAGAACCCCGTCGCTCTCCCCCCAACTCAAGGGGAAGAGCCCGGGAGAAGGCCTCAGAGCAGCCCAGGCGACACGGGTGCCAGCCCAGCGCTGAAAAGCAGAGATACCTTTTAGATGAGGTCTGGTTTCACTGTCAGTCATGCTGCTGCTCTATCGCCCTACACTTCACATGCTGCAGTGTTGCAGGCCTAAGACAGGCCTCCTTTGCGCTTAAAATATTAAACGGGGAACAGTCTGATGTAAAAGCCAGTATGGAGAACACTATAGCTGCCTTTACAATTTAGTAAGCAAGTTTGCATAAAATATTGCAGATGAAATCCGTTTTTACTCTGCCTGTGCCAAAATAAAAAGTGTAAATCATTTATGGAGAACACAGAACAAATAAAAGAACGGAGCTGTTGTTTTCAGCTCACTAGTCCTGCACAGTTAGGGCACCAGATGCTTAAAGCATGAAGAAGTGTACCAAGCTAGAGTTAGGCAGCAAAAACCTCAAACTCGTCATATGCCAGCTTTCTCTTACTTCTTCCAAGTCTATCATAAGGACTGATAACTGTTCCTTCACGATATTGCCAGTGAAACCTGCAGACTAACATACCCTCTTTTTATACCTTTGGAGTGACAGTAGCCATGAAAATAAACACAGTCTGTCTACATGGAAAGGTTATATTCATAGAAGTTAGCATGTGAATTTCAACTTATAAATCCATTCCAAGCTGATAAAATTAATCAAAAAGTCATATTTCAAGACAGGAGTTCTCGTTTTCTTTGTGTTTCTTTGTATACACCAGTGTAGTTACATTGCTAACACTAATTCCTCATTTCATTTATAAAACAACACTGAAATATTTTCTTAACTCCGGAATAGCTTCTATTTTTAGTAACTTCTTTTCCATCATGAAAACTCCTACATGAATATCCAACCCATTGAAACCAATTGCAAGTGTACCATTACCTTCTCGGAGATCAGGATTTCAAAAATCAAGTTTACATGTATATATCTTAGTGAGTTGCCCTAGCATCAAAGAATTGGCCATTGCAATATTGTCTGGCATTTCCATGAATTTTAGCAATCCCAGAAAATAAGCGTTAGTTCAATTTAGAGATAGAAAGATGAATTAGAATTGGCTTATATTGCTAAACATTCATCCAAAACACAGTTTTAAAACTTGAGCAGAAGTTACAAATACCAGTGCTATGTCAATGAAACCTTTAACATACCTAAAACGTTCTCATTATCATAATGGAAATTAGAGCTGTTGGCTTCTCTGTTTTTAAGTAATACGGCTGTTAACCATTAAATTTTCATCCAATACATATAGGGCAGAAACACAGTTACTTGTAATTGCATGGTCATGGTTTCTTTTGAAAGATAAAAGTGTTTTAGAATTGTATCCTGGTGCCCTTCAAAGTCCTCCTGGTGTTTAAGAGCTTCATTCATTCGGACAGCTGGGACGATATTAGGTAAATAGTGAAATTGTTTTTGAGGTACCTATAGATTTTCATTCCTTTGCAGATGTAAGAAAGTGTTGATGCTTAACAATGGGATTATTAAAAAAAATAAAATTGGTTGTCTTGCACCTTCTATTTCAGTATAAGAAATCCCTGTCCCTCACACCCTACCCTTAAGGTCTGTCCCAGTTTTGTTCCCAAATCCTTCTCCCTTCCTACCTAGTCTGGTAGCTACCATGAATACTTCTGCAAGTGGCATAACGACTTCTGGAACAGGCTGTACCAGGCTGTATGTGGCTGGACTGGAAACAGGGATGCCAGACTGAGATGGAACAGAGACAGGTATGAGAACAGTTGGAAGATATGGAAAGAGAAGGCAATGTCAGAAGAGGTAGTTCTGAGGCTGAAAGTGAGACAATGTGACTGTTTAGACTAATTTTCAATCGAATATCGCCATGGTGACAGACAGGGGTACAGAACTTGAATACAAATCAGCAGGTCACAGTGAATATTTTCTAAACTTGCTCAGATAGTAAGTACCAAGTGAAGATGTGCCTACAAACTTCAATTGGGGAAAACATGAGGAAGAAGTCTGTTGGTAATTGAAGTAAAAAGGATGCAATATCAGTTATCTAGAATATGACAATAAAATTTCACCCATTAAAAATTAATGATTCCCTTAGAATGCCCTTTTAAGTTTTTCCTTGTTTTAAGTCGTCTTGTAAAATCTATTATTACATCCTAAATATAGAATTTACAGCCTGCATGTTAGAGTTCAATATTTGCTTTTCTCTACATTGTATGAACACATTTTGTTCTCTCCAGACTTTCGAGGGTAAGTTTTAGTTTGACACATATTTAAAACTGTCAGCTCTTAAGAACTAGAAGAATTACTGGTTTCTTGCAACTTTGCTTCCATATAAATGTCTGTTTAAATAAAGATTGAAAATGAAGGGTGGGCAATGCAAACCTGCTCTCTAGCAGTAAGTCCTTACTCAGGAGGATTATCTACAAGATAAAGATAATCCAGCATGTACTCATTTAAACTTTGGCCATTCTCTTAGGAACAGCAATGAAATAACCACTAACCATTTCTGCAATATCAGTATACAGCCCTACTTGAGCTAAGCCTATCAGTCAGATTGTGGAGTAAGCCATAAGCCACCAGGTAATCAACAATCAGACACTCAGCTTGAATATATGACTAAGTGATAAAAACTCTGTATCCTGTGAACTGAAAGTTGCATTAAATTCCAGGAAATGTTGTAACTCAGAATAAGGTAGAGGTTTTCCTCTGGATATATAAAAATATTTTTCTTAACGTTTAATTTGACTGTGAAGAGTGTTAATGCCCTGCTTGAAGCTAAGTGGGGCAGTATCTTTGTCATATTTGTGGGAGGAAAATATGGAACAAACTAGGAGTGACAAAAACTTCTCTCTATCTACAGGTAATGAAATAGTTTCCAGTTTACCACTGCAGATGTCCCTCTATTTCAACGTTTATTTTTTCCCATTTTGGTGGCTCAGCACAGTTGTCATGCTCCATCTGAAGGTGAGTCCTGAAGGAAAGCGATGGTTTGCAAATGTATTGTTTCTGATCAGACACCCGCTAGTACTGAGATAACCTCCTAGCTCCAGTGAGCTCTATTAGGTTTATTTGGGAATTCCTTGGAACTGGAGGTTCAAGAGTATTTGAAAGCAAATACAACAGAGTCAACTTACAGTAGCATACAGTGTCTTCATTTAGTCACAAACTATGTTATGAAACAGCACAGCAGAAACTTTTACTCTCCTGTTCCCTCTAGTATCCGGTCTTGTCAGATTACTACAAGTTCATCCTGGTCACAATCATGATCCTAGTCTCTCTAATAGAGGTCATTCGACTCTACCTGGGATACATGGCCAATCTTCAGGAGAAGGTAGGTTACCGCATGTGCACATTAATTTGTGCAGGAGAGCTTTTTGGAGGTGAACGTAAATAAAATAGTCTACCAGTTCATCGAAGAGATTTAAGTTGAGGAGATGGTTATTTCTCTAAGTTACAGTCTGCATCTTCTCTTCCATTGGCAACAGCTTCCACTTACTTTTGTGCATTCCAGAAAGTTTTCCCTCAGAAGAGAGCCCTCTCACTCCCAAAAACTGTTTTGTCAGAAAAAATACAGTTAAAAAACACAGTATATGGAAACATTACCTCACTTTTGCCATTTTACAGTATGTGGTGGCTTTTGGAAGATTAAAAAAAAAGCGGTTTTCTCTACAAAGTTTTGGATTTTTTCATCTCCAACGGCCAGTTAATAGGTGGTGTCTCCCTGTTATAGGTCCCTGAGCTGGCTGGGTTTTGGCTCCTGAGTCTCCTCCTGCAGTTGCCTATAATTCTTTTCTTGCTATTTAATGAAGGTCTGAAAATTCAGCCGCTGGAGCGAGCAGTCCATATTGTCTTTGCCCTCTTCCTCACCTTCCAAGTCATTGCAGCCTTTGTCACCCTGAAAAGAATGGTAAACAAACTGGCAACTCACTTCCGCCTTAATGAATTTGACCAGCTGGAGGAACATCCTGTGCCTGATTTTTACAGCCTGGGTAAAGAAGAGAGAGCAGTTTCCATGGCTGGTAGGGGCCCATGCTGAGGAGGTTCACCCAACAAGTGCTGGCTGGGGAATCACACTCTGAGGGCCTGAGAAGCTAACAGAGGCAGGCCTCATGTTGCTGCAGCTCTGTTTCCATTTTGTTGGGCCATTCTTTACCTTCCTACATCAGAGATATTAAGGTCTTGCTTAAGAGCCACCATTAAACCTCAGGGATTTGAGCTCCACTCTGCAAGAAATAATAAAAAAAAAAAACCAACCACAACCAAAGCCAATTACGTAAGTGGCTTGAATGGACTATTTGTGGACTGTTGCTGCATAGAGTACCAACAGAGTAGGTTTGGTGGGTTTTACATTTTACAAAGTCATGTGGCGTTTTCAAAAAAAAAAAAAAAAAAAAACAGAAGTCTTTTTTCCCCTCACTGTCTGCACAGAATTGTTTTGTTCACAATAAATCTTTCATACACATTTTTATTTGTGTTGATACCAGTTTTCTCTCTATTCTTCCAGATATGTTGCACATATTTAATGTCTAGTACCTCAGTTAAGCAAAAACAAACAAACAAAAAAAACCCCACACACCACCAAAACACCAAAGAACCCCAAGAAATCTTGAGGCCTGGAAAGAACAATGATAAGATAGTGAACAAAGACTACAGTTTCAGAGATGGTCTTCCAGATGATTCCAGCACTAGAAATTCCTTACCAATAAACTAGGGATGGAATTTTAAAAGAAGTATTCCTTCCTCAAAACTCCTACGCTCATCTTCTTTGGCTTAGCTAGAGTTTTAACTATCAAGCCATTCAAACAGGGTGGTGCAATTTTCTCAAATGGAGGATTCAATAAGTCAGCAGTAACAAAATTATAGCCATTAAAAAAATTGGTTTATGTCACTGAAAGGCAGCCTGTTATTTATATTAATATTTATATTAATATCTGGACTATCTTCTCCAGTTTTGGTAATGGCTAAAAGTTCGCTTTTTCTGTCAAGGAGGGATGGGGATCAAAAGTTAAAATAAATTTTTCATCTGAATCCTTGAGTCTTCAGCAGGGCAAGAGTTGTCAGTTTTGAGAGCTGACACAAACATCCAAACTGCTCAAAGGAATGTAAAGAAGTGTCTAATGTGAAAAAGGCACCATACGCTTAAAGCTGCTGCATATTTAAAGCTTATAGAACCTCTAGCAAAAAAGAAGGCATTAGCTTTGTTTTATACCAAAACTGTTCCTTTTCTTTTTAATCTATGAGTGAATGGTACAATTAATTCTACTAAATTTCCTTCTTCATTTTGTTATTACAAAGCATATATTATCAGAGCACATACCCCTTTGTTTTTAAACAAACTTCTGGCTTGCAGTGGCTATTGTGCAGAAAAAGAGGATTTCTGTGAGAGAATCTCTAAGAGTGCCTTCAACAGTTAATAGAAAACATTTAGAGCCCTGTATTCAGAGCCTGCAAGAGACAGTGCGGTTTAAGCAGGAGTTACATTGTTTCAAAAACACTTTTACAGCATTAGAAACTCCTTGTAAAAACATTAACTGATGCAGCGGGAATGTTGCACATATTTTCATGTCAACCACAATTACGCTGCTGGAGAGTGCCAGGGTCAGGGCTGATGAGCTACAGGAGAAGCTTGGTAGGATCTATTACAGTAACAGATAACAGCATAGTGGGTCCCGACAGGCCAAACAGAAACATCAGATACCTTGGACCCTATTTTCTCCAGTGATTGTGAACTGCAACTCAGATGTCTTAGTGCCTCGGTAGCCATACAGAGCTGCCTCTTCCAGCCCAAATATGGTGGGACTAACACCAAAGGCTGCCCTTCCTGGCCAAGAATGTAGGGTAGACCTCCAAGGAGCTCGCATCCACCACTAAGAAAACCTGGACATTAGAGAAATCCATGCCGCATTGTTAGCTTGTAAGTTGAGCACTACTACTTTTCAAAGCCTTCCAATAGTTTGTCTAAGAGAACATACAAGTTAAGGGAAAGCAGTATCTTTTCCATAGGTACACTGGCTCTCTGAGTCTGCCCTTGATATCATTGACAGGACAAGCACTGGGACAGCTTAGAAGAGACACTAGGGCAGTGTCTCCTTTTGCTCTGCATGTAGCTTGCCTATTCCCCTTATTAAGAGGCCACTATGGAAGATTAGCAGGGAGATGGTACAGTAGGCCAAGCTCTGAGGAGATGGAGTGATTACCTGTAGTAATCCAATCTCTCGCCTTAAGTAGAGAAAGGCATATCGTTTGGTTTTCTTTTCTGTATCACCTTAAACAGTTTAAAACAAATTCTTTTGTAAGATTACGAGTGTAGTGGGTGGGAAGGTTTCTGACACTAAATACATCGTAAGGCTGAAGAAAAGTCAACCGTATACCAATGCTGGTGACAAGGAACTGGCCTCCAGGCCTAGGGCCCTGAGACATGATTCAAAGTCATTGCTTTTAGTGATAAGGAAACTTGGAAGATCAAATTGCCATGCAAGACAATTATCAGGAGCCAAAGATACAGAGACACACACCTCTTTGCTGGAGAGAGAGAACATCGATGAGGTGATACAGAAAATAGGGTTCAGAGAAACACTGTTAGAGTTGCCTGGAAATGCTGAAGGTAGAAGCCAGTCTGTGATGTAAAGCTTCAGCAACATATTTGATAAACACAAGATGTCTGCATTCTCTCTGCTCAGGCTTCCTAACAGACCTGCTAGTCTGTTTTTAATTTCATCATTACCAGCTGTCCTGGTTTAAACATTTAATTATGAAGAAAGCCTGCAAGCACCTAGAAATCCCATTCAGTGCCTACAACTGCATTTTTTTCCATGAGTTTTCCTATTCCTCATGTACCCAGAGACAGGAAAAGAAAATTACAGTAGCGCTCAGGAACAAAGAACAACAAATGGAGAATCGTACCAAAACTTTCCTTCAGTTTCCAAATTTCACAAGAACCAGTGAGACATCAAACAAGCAGAAAATATACTAGTCACTTGTAACATCAAATTTCAGACACATAAAAGCAAACTTCAGAACAGAAACTTCAGATAAGCATGCTGGGGAAAAACAAAATCAAGTGAAATACATGAGGAGAAAAGGGGGAAAAACACTACAGAAGGTACTTACACAGTAACTATAAACCAGAAAATAAATGGAAGAACTTTCTAGCATCAAAAGCAAGGCAGCAATAATGGCATTAATGTTTTGAAGAAAAACATAGGAAAGCTTGGTTTGTTTTTAATGAAGAAGTTCAGGAATAATTGCCAGAACAGACTGAAAGCAGCAAAAGGTATGTGAGAATTTCAAAGGGGCACAGCAGGAAAGCTAACAGTCCTTCATAAATCCTCTTCCTCCCATTATTCAGATAGCTATGAGCAGGTATGTTGTCCCATAACAGGAAGAATATACTCATCTTGCAGTGCAAAGTATTCACAAGTAGAACATGAGAATTTAAGATTCAGCAAAGCAGGTGTTTGGGGTGTGAGGGGGTTTGGTGTTACACACACACACACAGAGAATAGATGGAAACAAAGGTGAAAGGGGGAGCTGAAGAAAATTGGAAACTAGTGGAAGTTCCTTGAGCAGCATCTAGACGTTTTTGAACACAAGCCGTAAAATAGCAGCTTTTTGCCACACTAAGGTTTGGGCAGAGAACCACAAAACATGGTTTTTATGATCTAGATAGCTACCAATAGCTCTCCCTTCACAAGCAAGATCTTTGAATGGCAGAAGTCTATGTACAGAGCTCAGTTATTTTATTTCACCAAGTTTACTGTTAGGAAAGGCCAACAGCCAATTTTAAAGGAAATTTGTACCAACATACTTCCTTTAACTGAAGAAAAGAAACGAGGAATGGGCATATTATCTTAAAATGCTCTTTTTTAGGTTACTGATCAATTTGAAGATGAGTATTTTGTATTCAAGGGCATAGTTGCTGAGTTGTTAATACCTGGACTCGGCCTGTGTTCCTGTCTAAAATAGGCTTTGTAAAAGGATTTTTTTTTTTTAAGTAGTTACAGGACTTCCGAGAAGGGGAAATTAAATTTGGAAGAGGCTTCAATTATGTACCTTACTCAAGCAGATCTGATAAAGCAGACATGAGATAAGGCATAGATTTGATAAAAAACAGACAAGTGATAAAAAAGGGGGTACAGCATTAACCTTTCTATACTAACAATTCACTCTTTCAGATTGCTGAAAGAATTGCACCCAGGGGAATGAGATCATACATTTCACTCTTGCCTTTGTGTCTTATAAACTAGGCTAGACTTAGTGTTAATCTTTAAATAGTTAATGAAGCAGGTAGAATTGGCATCATTACGTGGTCTGATAAGATAGTCAATAGTAATATTTGATAGCTGGGTAAGGCTGCAGAGATGATTTATTTTGAAAAACAATTTTTGTTTCTCCAGGACAAAGATCAGATGGGAGCAATTAAAGAGGACTTTGTTCAGCACTTCAAATAAAGCAAAGATAATAAAGAGGTCCTCTATAGGAGGCAGGTAAAGTAGTATATAAGGGTCAACTGATAAAACCAAGAAGAATTTAAACTATAACAAAATAAATAGGTTCAAGAAGCGTAAGACTGGAGGAAAATTAGTATGTTGATGATTGATGCCATTGAAGGAGCCCCCGTGTACATGAAGCAGAGAATTTATTGAAAGGAAATAAATGCGCTAAGTTACTAGCTTGAAATCTTACAGGGATTTAGAGGAAACGTTATTCCACCGGCTAAGAAGCAGCCTACAGGACACAGTTCCACATTCATTAAATACATGCAACTTTTGCAGCTTGTTATGAAAAAAACACTTTCTTCTTCAGACAATCCAAGGTTTGAAAGTAATAAAAATACAGTCCCTAGGAAGCACATACTAGCCAAGAGACATGAGCACAACAGAGAAACAGTAGAGAGAAATGGAACAAATCTGGCAGGCAGCTGCAAGCGCAACCATGCTAAGAGCTATGGCTTCCCTGGTGAATTTAGGAAGTATTAGTGACTTCCTTGAGAGCTGTCTTGAACATCCAGTGTTAGGGAAGGAGTTCATGCAGTCTATGAAAGAAGCTACTGTTGTTCTTTAAGGAATGGAAAAGACCCTTCTTTATTCACACCAGAAGACCCATGCTGTTCCAGAGTCAAAAGTGCAGGCAAGAATGCTTGAACACTCTTCAGCTACCATGTTCTCAGTTTATTGAAACTGCACCATAAGCTGAATTCATTAAGGTGGGAAGAATATCAGATATACCTAATTCCTAATCACTTGCACTGCTAATGCCAGGGGAGATTTATTTGTTATTACTTTACACAGAGAAAGCTTATGGCAGGCTGGAGCTTTGAACAGAACCTTTTGTCCCATGCAACTACTGGTCCCCAGTTGCTTAAAG